GGTCTCCACTCTCTCTTGACCAGGGACAACATACAGTGTGATAAGGCGTGAGAGGAACAGCTGGAAGTGCTCCAGGCAGCACTGCATGATAGGTTTGTCCAGAGGTTTGGCCTGAGACAGGCCTGAGGAGCGTCGGCCGGTTTTGAGAGTAGGGGTGGCATTAGGGGTCCTGTCGGCCTCCTCACCATCACCCTGGTACTGCACGAAGTCTGTAAAGCCACTCTCAGGGGAGCGCACGCTGGGAAGACTCTCACCCTCCTCAAATACTTCTGCACTTACGGGTAGCTCTAATGTTGAAGGAGGAGTCTGTAGAAAATCAAAATGTCTTTATGAATTCCAATATTTGGATACTTCACACATATTACACACTAAAGAAGTATACACAGGTGTTGTGAATCCTAAAATTGTTTGGACTTTATTTTTTAAAGATATAATTTTCAAACTACAGTACACCTCTTGGCATTTGGACTCAGATGGCATGTGAGAAGCCAGATTCCCCTTGTGCTCCTCTGGGTGGGGCTGGGACTGTTAAGGTATCCCATAGATATGTGCAGAGTGTTTTCCACTCTGATGACTATGTCACCCCCAGGGGGGTCTCAAAGCCCTGTCTTCTCATTTACAGAGGGCAAAGCCAGACTGGGCTCAGCTGTAGGTGAACCATCTTGGGTCTTTGTTTTCTTTCTGTCGGCTTTGGCATCATGAGTCTGAAACACTTTTATTCATTGGGGCTTAGAATTTCAGCAATGGTTCTCTTGATCAAGAATTTTTTTCTTTAAAAGCCTAAAAGACTACATTCTGATTAAATTATATCCACTGTTAATTTCAAAAAGGCTAGGTACAACCAGAGCCTTAGAGACAGCATTTTGGTGAAAAAAGCTTTGAAGGTGTGATTTTCCTGGTCAGAAGGCTCACAATTTCAGAGTAGATCTTACACTTGGTATAGAGTAATCCTGAAATGTAGTTTGAAGGGACTGCAGAAAAGCGAGTGTTGAATAGAAAACTTTTGAATCCTCACCTGTTTCTCTTCCTTCTTTTTGGGTCTGTCTGATGGCGATGGTGATGGGGCAGTCGTGGGGTTTGAAATACCTGGCGCCTGAGGGCCCAGGGGTAACACTAGAGGTGACACCAGAGGGGGCTGTACTTTACTGAGGATTTTTGAACAGAGGCGAAGGCAGTGAGTCAATTCTCCAAGACCCAGAGCTTGGAGGTGAGCAGTGAGAGCAGCCACCATCCGCAGCAGCAGCTGAGGGAGATGCTCTGTCTGGATCTCTATGTATGTTTCCTGAGAAATACAGTTACAGAAGTGAGATGTGGAAGTCTGACAAACTACAGCCATATTTCTTTTGACTCAAATCATACACAACCTCTAATTGATTCTAAATGATGAATTGTGTATCATAATGAAAATAAAAATCTGTGAATCTGGCAAAATCTATTATATTTCTTAATCCCATACTATAACATTTATTCAAACGAGCAAAAGCAAATGCAAAATGCATGTAAATGTCAAAAGAATAAGAAGCCATAATAAGAACAGCATATTCAACATTACATTACATTTCTTCTAAATATGTGAGTTTAGTGGTTGCAGACGCATGCATGCTTAAACTGGACATTCACAATGAGCAAAGATTTCATTTTCACAAGATCCACACCAAATCGCCAGTAGAGACATGGCATTTTTACGATGACCCAATATTTTAATTGATGAATTGAGGCAAAAAGAAAATGGTCTTAGAAATGTTGGCAGGAAATTGCGGAAATGTGATCATAGCCTGAGTGAAGCAGAGTGAGGTTGAAAGGCAGGAAAGAGCAGTACTTTACCTGGCAGATTACCCTCATGCTTCTAGTAGGCTTCAGGGAGAGAGAGCAGATAGTTTCAACAGACAGGAGCAAGCAGAGCACAGGCAAGACTTTGTTTGCAGTAAACACTCAAATTCTCTCTCATTCACAAACTCAGAACACTACAGAAACACCAAAGCATAAAACAAAATAATTTCCAAACTATTCAGATTGGAAATACTATTTAGGCAGTGTACTGTAGCGGGAAAACTTCACAGGCACGTCTGAACCTGTGTAAGGACTGCAGAGAAGAACACACCCAAGTGACCGCCAGTAACATACCCAAAGAGATGTATTAATCAGAATTAACAAGTAAATGCCGAATTCAAAATGTTATGAATGAGGCTGAAACAACAAGGTTAGAGTCACTTTGGTGGAAGAGAGAAGCCCAATTTAGAAAATGTACAGAAATAGTACAGAATAACATACTACTAACCATATGCTGAAAACATAATATGTATTGGAAAAAGAATATTCTGGCATTAGGTCAAATTAATACAAAAGAGGACAGTGCAAGGATGTAGGTACTAGAAAGGAACTTTAAGAACTTTCAATAAAAAGAATTAGGAAATTAGGAAAGGGATATTAACACATTGAAATATTAATCAAGAAAACAAACTCACCAAGGAAACAATATCCAGAAGAAAATCAACGAGCTGACAAAATTCCACCAGTGAGAGTTCAGGACAGTCTATGGCCCCGGTGTGTTGAGGGCCCTGAGCTCCACTGTTCACTGTCCTTCTGTAGAAGTCATATTTCAGTTTTGTATTTTAGTGTAAATAAATATGTGCTATCAAATTTCTAACATGGAATCCTTACACACCTGCAACACTCCTCAAACCAGCGGGAGATGTAGTCCCACATGTAGTAAGGCTCAAATGAGTTGAACAGCAGATTGGCTGTTTTTATTAGCTCTGCTGTCTTTTTATTTTCCCGTAGTTTACTGAAAAAAAGACATTTTACTATGACAGAATTATATTCTAATTCAACTATTTGAAAAGAGTATACAGTGTACCAACCTGCTGAGGTGCGTGTGATCTTTGCTAAATGGACTCTGACTTTGGAGATCCAACTCTGTTCGACACTGTGTATGTAAAGTACGAAATACCTCAATTAAAACATCTTCAAGGATTGCTGGACCTGGAAAAGGACAGGTTTTATTTGGTTATTTTTTCAGTTACAATATGAATTGATTTAAAACATTGCCATGTAGATTCAGTTTAGTCATTTGTTAATCAATAAATTTTTACCCAGCTCCGGTTTATCCAGGAGGCTGATGAGAATGCGAAATGGCTTAAGGTCATGCATAAGGATACTTTCTTCTTCACCACCTCTGGCTTTGCCCTGCAAGATTCCCACCATTGCCTAAAAACAATACACAGACATAAAGACCCCTTCAAACACAATAACTGCATCACTTCTCTATTTAAAAAAAAAAAAAAAACTGTATTGACTTATGCCACATTCATCTTAGCCCTATGTGCTTCATGCATGGCCTGCCACATAATTGGCTGAAGCCTGAACAGACAGTCCCTGTAGTACCAAACATCTCCCCATGGAGGGAGCTGCAAAACTGCATCAGACCAGATGGCACAAGAGCAAACCAAAAACAAAAACTTCACTTGCTGCTCTCTGCGACCTACTCCCAAGCCCTGGTGTACCAGAGCGGAACTGGCACAACCAGGGCAATGTTCAATGTTTAATTATGGTAAGCAGTTTTCAAAAGCCAAGCTACAGGGAATAGAGTAAAGAGGAGGACGTATCTGGAACTAGGAGAGATTGTGGGAGGTTGATAAAGAATGTCTGTGAAGCTTGATGTATTGTATGCACTCTTTTTAAATATCATGGTGAATTAAAACAGTGTCCTCAAAATGCACAAGTCTCACCTGCACCAACATATCTTTAGAGTAGGCGTTGAAGTAATGGCTAGCGTGCTCTTCTGGATTGCTCTGCCGTGTACTGCGAGGGCCTACCATCACCCCATTGTTGTCAAAGCCTTTAAAACCATACACATGCAGGGTTAATAACAATAATTACTACATTATAATGAAATCAAAATGCATTGTGCACCATTAGTATGCTATGATTAGCAGCTTGCAACTGTAACTGTAAGACTAAGTGTTATTTCCTGGCAAATGCACACACTTACCAGCAGATTTTCCACAATAAGAAAGCAAGTAAGAAAAAATATAATATGACTACAGTGAAAACCCTGTATGTATGAATGTAATGCTGTGGTAATGTATGTATATCAGAGGTTCCATCAGGAAAACACAAAATTTAGTTGTTCATCAAGTGAATAAAGAAGACTATGGGACTCACAGAAAAAAGGGCTGTTACATTACAATTTAAGATCACCGTTGATACTAGTAAATTCACCGGCGACCACTATTACTGAATTTAAGATGCGGCATCCGATTTTCCGGCAATTATAATTGCATGCAGTCTGATTATGTCAAATTTTACAATATTTTCTATCGTTTAAAAAGGAAAATGTAATTATTCACAAGAAACAGCTCCCTTTAATATTTAAGTTACGTCTCTGATATACATGTCAATGTGAGTAACTGAAGTTCGCACCCAGCAGCCAGGCGTAGAGTCTGCGGTTCAGGGACATGTCTCTTCTCAAAACCACATGCAAAGCTGCCGATAGGATCCGGATCATATCTGGGCGGGTTGCCTGATTACAACACAATATAGTAAAACATTTATGTAGTCTATCTCCCATATAAAGTTACACTCAACCAAAGAGAATCTGTAAGGAGCCAGCTTGAGATGAAGGTTTTAATGGCTCTCAGCATGAGTAAACTTCTATGGTTGACTGACCAGGAAAGTTAAAGATTTGCACATCTAATTATAGAAACACTGTACAATTTGACTATTACAGTTGTCAATATAAAAATCAATATTAACAGCACTATTATATTGCAGTTTCCAAGAGGTACTGTAGCTCAAAGAGCAAGCGTTATAGTACCTGACTCATATGGAAGGGAAAACAAAAGAGTATCAGATCCAGGGTGCTCCTTTGGACAAGCACACTTGAGTCCTGGACAGAGGTACTGACTGCTTCCACCTATCAGCAAAATCAACATACTATCAAGGGAACTGTTTCTAACAATAAAGAACATCATCAGACATTCCTATTAGGTCAAATTATTATGTCCAGCAGAGCAGGCTGGTTGATACAATTATTATCCTGTACATACCATCAGTTCAATATCGTTGCCCATGACATAAAGCTGGTCCTCCATTGAGAGCTTGCGGTTGAGATGAAGCAGGACAAAGGATACCCCAGGCAGACGCACAGCAGGGCTAGTCAGTATACTGCCCCACAAGGCACTGTAGAAGGCCGACTGCTCCACAGCACCAGCCACTTTTTCTAACAGAGCGTTGGTTCTATGAGAAACATAAATAAAAAATACACAACAATAGGATGAATATTTCAAGTATATAATACATTACACAAATAAATATTTATTTGTGACTACTTATAATACTAACAAGTTGTTGAAAAATACTTATAGATGACTGGTAGGGATTATGAGGATCCTTATACATATAAACCTTTTTTCTAAATAAATGAATGAATGAATTAATAAATAAATAAATAATCAAGGCAGACTTTTAATTGTATTTTACATACTAGATACCTGTCATAGTACTCAGAGCCCTCCTCTAGACCGGGAAGTACACCAGTCAGCAATCCCTGTAGGCCTGGTTTCAGAGTTTTTCCCAAGGGTAGATAATAGGTCTCATAGAGTCCAAGGAGCACAGGTTTTACAGACATAGCAGCATTGGACAGTAAAGGGAAGAGTCCAGCGCTAAAAATATAAAACAGAAAATCATGTTGAAGACACATAAATACTGCTGTACTGGCCCCTAGTGGTGTAAAAACAAGAGCTGAATAATTACCTGTAAAGGAAGAGATCTTTTGCTAGCCTCTTGGAACCAATAATTTTGAAGATTATCTCATAGGTTTCCAAGGCTTTGCGGTGGACCCCGCTTGGAAGTGCAGGGTGGAGGCATTGGGCCAGTCGTTTACCTATTGTCAGCTTCTTGGGCACCACTTGGTATTTAGCATTGTTTTGTAACACCTGTGAAGATAAAAAATAAAGGTCACCATTTGGATGATGAGAAGCTGTTTAAATACTCTAATCTGCATTCATATTTATTCCAAACAGAAAAAGTGATACAGTAATAGTGTACAAATGTCAATTTAACTTTTTTTTTTACTGTCTTCTTTGACCTAAACTCACCTTGTTGAGTTTTCCCAGAGCCGAGATAAGATCGGCCCATTCACTGGAATACTCAAAGTTCTTGAGGGCTTTGTCCACAGCGGCAACATAGTTCCTGTACTTGGAGTCACTGAGCAGCTCCACTTCCTCTGCATTCATCCTCCTGGGTGTTTTTGTGTGATGTTAAACACTCAGCACACACAAACACATCATACCTGTAAAAATATAATCATTAAACCCAAATTACTCGATCAAGTACAAAGAGTAACTAAGTGGGCTTAAGTCATATTTTACACACTGGACTGTAGCAATTAAGATAGACCAGTCTGAGTCAGGGTTTAATGAATAATACTACTATCTACCACGGGCATTATGAGGTCATCCTTAATCATCATTATACCAAAAAGAACATTATGACCCTTATGTACAGTCAGAAATCACTGTAGACTGTATTGTGAAAGAATCAAACTTATTTGAAAGGATGTCAATAAAACGTACAAAGGAACGTAAAAACTGACAAAAAAAATAATGACATTATACATTTTATTCTGTATCATATTACTTGTTTAAGTCCTGAGACTGTTAGTACAAGCTTTGTTCTTAGTACATACGTTTTAATGCAATGGTTGTTTGCGCTCTTCAAAGTACTTACTGATCTTCATGGGGTCTGCGTATGTAATAAGAGCTAAGGCTAGCCTGTGCGAATATAAATGTTAATCAGAAACGCAAACGGTCACATCTTACCATTGTTGTAAACTGGCCGATGACAGTTACTGAGCCATGTTTCTTGACCAAAAACAGTTGACAACATTAGGAAAAAGACAAGCAAACAGGCTAACGATAGTAGCAGGTTGTTAAATGATGGAGATGCAGGGCCCCGGCTGCGATGTTAGACGCCAATTCAGGAGTGTTTTTTTTTTTTTTTTTTACATACGGAATTAAAAAAACAAGTCGTTAATGTGTCCTACACTACATATTTGCATTTCTCATCACTTATCACCACTATGAGCGAACATAAACAATGATGAGCAGGACAGATCTTTTGGCAAAGGTACAATGCGATACGATTGACAGCTCCCAGACTGCACTGCAGAGCAGCCGTACGTCCCCTGCGCTTCCGCATGGACGTTTCCGGTCAAGTCACCAAACATTACACCGGAAACAACAACACTGTGAGCTTGCTGTGCTCTTGGCTTTGCTTCATAGTTATAGTAAAAGGGCACACATTTTTTTGTTTACTTAATATTTATTTTATTGGTACTATAACCAGTAAATACTCAAGGTCATTAATCAATATTTGTCTTATGTGCATAAGATCAGAGTAGCTTTATGCATTTCATTTGAAATGTATTTGTAGGAGATATTCGGAAATGCTATGGTCTCAGTAACTTTCCTAAACCGGTAGAGTACGTCGAGAAAAAAGCCACGCTGTTTCGTGCTGCATGCTCTCGCTTTGTTTTTTTCTTGTTCAGTACATTGACTGTTCAGCATGTATGTAGTACGTTAATATCTTACATGTAATTTTCGGGCATATGTGTTTAAACAGGTTTATGGATGAATAGTTGTCCTTTTGAATACCTCTGTGAATGAATGGCAAACACTGCAATGCCAGTCAGGAGTGGAACTGCAGTATTTCTAGAGCTTAGGAAAAGGCTTCGGAGTGGTTTAGTCATTATAAGGTAAGTATTTGAATGCATGCCTTTTTAACACTAATGACTGAAGATTGTTTGCTAAAACAGCTGCCTTTTGTCACCAAGTTCTACAGATAGTCAGTTCACTGGCTATTTCTGGAAGAGTGCCTTTATCCATGCAAATAGTTTTTGTATAATGAAGCACAATTTAAAATCTTTGGGTTGTGTAAAGGCTAACATTAGTAGCCTATGTTGTATGTTACAGGCATGGTGACAGACAATTGGTTCCAATCTGAACAGATAATTCACTTGATTACCATATACTAGGCTAACTACTCAAAACACAGCACTTATCATTTCATGACTTCGTGTTAAATTAAGTTATGATACACCCATCTGACACGATTTGGATCTTAAACTATAAAAATAATGCTTTAAACTCAAATCATACAACTTGGCTTCTGATCAACTATAGGTAGGTTACAGCTATCAATAGCAGGACTGTTGAGTGCATTGTTGTACAACCAAAGCAAAGGTTTATGTTTTATAGATTTTAGTTTATCACAATGAACCATTGAGTTGACACTTTATCTGTTGGCCAAAAATAATGATATATGGAAACATAAGTGCACTCCAAGTCAAAACAAAAAAAGAATACCTGACTTCTGCTGGCCCAGGTGTTCATAGCCAGTATTTTTACAGCAAGTTAAAGTAATTCTACCACTATTATCTGACTAATATCACATTGCCTTGTGATACAAATCCAAAGTTAATGTTTCAAACCTTATTAAAAGTATGGCTGCTCTGTCATAACTATTGTAAGTCATCCATCTGTAGTCTTCCATTTGAAATATAGTTCAACATGGTAATGTAGAATTTGAGATGTTGTAAATTGCCACCCCTACTTTATTGCAGTAGATTTGGGCAAAGGATTCTCTCCTGATGTGACTTTGGTATGGCTTTGGTATGACAACAGCCCTCAGTTGTTATAGCAATAATACAATTCAAATTAAATTATTATTATTATTATTATTATTACAACGATGATAATATAACATGGGAATGTCTTTACAGAACGAAGGACTTGCCTGAAACCCATGAATAGGAACACACATTCCAACCCATTTATCACATCACTTCACATAGGCATATTGTCTCTATTATGTGTGTTTTATTACACTTGTTTACATTACTTGAAAGTCTGTCTTTCTTAATATGTCTATCTGTGAAAGCATTTGTTCACAGAACACACATAAAGTGTAACTTTAAAGCTGTTTTAATTAATGTGCTATATAAATAAATAAACTTGAACTTAAAATGTTATTTTGTGAAATAATGTTCTACCTTCTGTTCTATAGAAAAGATGTGGCTCAAAATCTTTCAGAGACTATTGTTACTGGTGGAGAGTCCATGCTTCACATAAAAACACCCGAAATGCAGGTAAACCTGACTTTACCACCAGGGGTCACCTTTGAGCCAGGATCTGTCATACCTACTACAGCTGGAGACCACTGTAAAGAGGAGCTGCATTTTAGGCTGCGCATTACTACAGCTCAGCACAAAGGTAAACATACACGTGTAATAAGCATAGGCCTGTATCACTGTATCACTAATACAAGGACATCTAATTAATAGTGTGTATAAGTGTGAACGCAATACATTCCATTAATTTCCACTCTAAATATAAAATATCTCATGCATTTTTGATTAAATTATAATAAATGTTCAATGTTAGTTAATACATTCTCATCCAATAATGGTAGTTATTTTTTGTCTTTTGACTATTAATATTGAAGCAGTTTCTTTCATACACCCAAAAATACAGCAAAATGTTTTAGTTTGTTTTTTTTCTGCCAAAAGATTGCTGCCTGCTGCTGATTGACAAACCCAATTTTTAAGTGATCAAGTGCAGTGTGTTACAGTCCAAGTCTAATAAGTTCATGTGTTTTAAATTTGTTTCCTGGGTCCTGGGGCTCTCCACAGAGGTTTCTGACAAGGTGATGGAGACACTCCAAGCTAAAGAGACTTATTGCTTCCACTGCCAGACCTGCATGACCAGGCTGCTGGAGGACAGGTGAGGAGTAAAAAGATAAGAGCGATGATGGGTGAATGAAGGAGATGCTAGTGTTTATTGATGGGCTGACCCAACCATAGAACTGATGGGAAGAAAGCTGATGGATGCAGTTGGATCTGAGTCCGCAGTTGTCAGACTGTGTGAGAGTTATAGAAGTGCTATGGAGTTTGGTGCAATGTAAAGGTCTGCAAGACCTATTAAAAAAACAATTGTGTTTCTTTGCTCGAAGTGAATCAGATAGATGGTGGTATTTTTCTTATTACTTTTAGCTTGGATTTTTCAATTCTCTGCAATGTGATATGCTGAAAATAGCTATTTCTGCAATGTGACCAATATGCCTTTGGGGCATGTTATTTGCACATAACCATAAAAAATGATTTGTCCTGTTTATTAATATATAAATATACTATAAACTACATTTACAATCATTTACATTTTGGACTATAATTGGTTATAATGTAGTTATGCTACATTTAAAATAGCCTGAAGTATTCTACATTGCTTATCATTCTAAAATAACATCAGATACTTCTTTAAAATGTGCTCATTAAAATTACTCTTAATTTTCTTTAGATCATTCCGGAGAGTCCTTCCTCTCCCAAATGGAAATTGGAATGCTATTGTGGATGACTGGTGTTGCCATCCGGATCCCTTCGCTAACAAGAAGTTGTTGCCTCGAGCAGAGGACTGTTTACTTGGCGATACCTTCCTGCTTTTAGCCAGAGATGGGAGCTGAACACACCCTTACTGAGGAAATAAGCCCAGTTAGTGCAGTGGACAGCCAGGATCCAAAGGTAAGGAGAACCTAATTGGCTAATTTGCAATATATTGTGCAGCCATACTTGATGATTAGTTATAATTGCTAACTCATTTATCCTTACGAGAGATACAGAGATACAACTGTAATACATTTATCATAATTGATCCAGATTCAAAAGTTTAGCCCACCCCACTCTAAGACAATTCTCAGAAAATGTCATGAGTAAGTTAGACTGAAGCACTTTTGATGAGGATTGATTTCTCCTATCCTCTATTAGTCATTCGCTGCACAAGTGGCATTCTTTGCATGACTGAAAGTGAGAGAAATGGAGAGAGAACAAATGGCAACCTGTGGGCCATATATCTCTCTCTGCCTCTCCCCCATTGTCTCCTGCCTGGTTATAGTGCCTATTGATTGTGGTTTAAAAGCAGCCAAGCTAATGACAGGGGTCTACAGCTGTGATTGGTGTCTCATTTATGTTTTTTTTTTTTTTTTTTTAATGGACAGAAGCCATGCCGTAGGCTGAAAGTCCTCTCATGTAAGAGCTGTTCTTCAGAACTAGGTGAAGCAGTAGCACCAGGTAACACTATATTTTTCATTTATAAGCTACATTTAACATCGAACTGTGAATCACTCATTTTGACCGATTTTTGAATTTCATAGAGATTTTAAAGTTGTACATCACACAGGTGGTTGTGGAGCGATGTGTAGGAGACCAAAGGTCAGAGTGTTCACTTAGCAGGTAAGTAGGACAACAAGGACACTGCAAAACAAAATGATTTATGATCATTGATTCAGTTTCCTCCAGTGAATACTCCAGTGAATATTTATAACACAGAAGATACTAGAGCTACATAGAACTACATGCAGTCATCAATACTACAGATTAGATAATCCTGGAGATGTCTGTGTTGGTAGCCTAATTACAAATAATATAACATTACCGAGTTTTTTTTGTTGTAATCATGACGAAAACAAAATACATATTATTATACATTGTATGCTATGTTTATCTCTTATACTCAGTATATACATGTAAATATTATTGCTTTCACAAATTTTCAGGCTCTTTACCTGGCTGCTAACCAAAGAACATTTTATAGATACAACACGCAATTGTCATGTACCATCTCTGCATCTTACTCAGAGCTGTTCCACTAGTCTCTCAAATGGTCAGGTTCATATTCTGTTCCAGGGTGGAATTTAAATATGCAAATGTACACTTTTGTTCCTCAGATCTCTCTTCTTGGAGAGAACGGTGGCAGACAAATTGTGTGAGCTCTCAAACTCTCTGAGCACCTTCCACTTTTCTGTCCAGACCCCTGATGGAAAGGCTTTTTTGTTGGTGAGAACCAGCTATTTATATATGTTGGACTACTATATATATATATATATATATATATATATATATATATATATATATATATATATATCTCCCACTGATTTACATTAGAATATTGTCACCCCTCTCTCTGTAAATTCTGCTGTGAGCCTCATCATTTTGGTCTTAAAATGTGCATATTAACCCGCTGTAAATGATCCTGTTTTTTTTTGGCTATTTTGTTTGTCAAAAGAATCATATTCATAATATAGATCCTGGCTCCAAATTTGCTCCTATAATGGTTAGCATTGTGAGCTTTATTTGAGTGGCGCTGAACGCTACGGGTGACGTCACACTTGTTTAGTCCACTTTTTTATACAGTCTATGGTTGTAAAACAATAATCCTAAAACTTTCTCTGCTTACTATCATGGCAAGTAATTAATCTAGCATCTCTGTTCCAATGTGTAACTGGCCAGTGTAAACAGAATTGAGAACTGAACCAACTCATGTTGGCGCCATATACCATCTTGCTTGTTTGGGATGTAATACATCACCATTGAGCTTCTATGTTTCATTGTGACATTTATTAGAAGAGCCTAGCACTTTTTTTGGTATGATTGGTCGGAAGAAAAACGGAAGATCTGAAGATCCTCTGTATAGGATTTTCAAAGGAACTTGCATAACTGCTGTGTCACAAAGTGATTTATGAATTCAGAAATAATCATTATGTTTTCTTTTTTTTGTTATTGTTTTTTTTTGTATTTAATTTTTTAGATGGTATTTTTATATTTGGCAAAAGCCTTGCTTTGTCATTACATAATGAAACAAATTTAATTTAGATTTGATGACATCAACATTCTTCATTCAAGGCTGATGTTGATACATGATATATCGCTTAATCATCCTTGTTGTACTGTTTAATTTTGTATTCTTAAAAAGTTTTAAAGTTTTAACTGTATTTGTCTTTTTTATGTTTTAGATTTGGCTTTTGAACAATGACTCCATTGTAGCATCAATCCCATGGTCACACATTGAAAATGTGAGGTCCTCATCCTTAGACTCTCTGAGTCCTTCACCCAGTGCTACAAGAGCCTTGAAAGTACTCTACATCTCCTGCTCTGACACTGGCATCCAGCAAAAAGAGTAAGCCTTAATGCATCCTCTCCTCCATGCCCTCAATCTTTGTTTTGCGCTCCTTAATCTTCTGCTTTCATCTTGCCACGCATGCTTTCAATCACTACCTGTCTGCTTGCTCGCTGCAAGGGGCTGAAAGACTATTTTGTCGGTGCAGGGATTTCAGGTTTTAATAGAACGCTTTGCACAAAGGTTCCCTGCTCAGAAATAATTGTCTAATATTTCTCATACAAGAATGCATCAAAGGTGTTTATCATCTTGAAGCTGTCAGTTGCATAAGCAGCGTTGGTATTTGTTGCACACTTAGGCAGTCTTGTTTAGACTGGAGCTCAGGCCACGTGTACCCCACTGTCATGCTTTTGAGAGGTGTGGAGAAAACTGCATGTGGTTCCCATCCCACTGGAAAGACCTTCAACTCTCATTATTTCTGTCAGAAATGAGTGCTCAGCACTTTTTCCTTTACTTTTTCTTTAAGCCGCTGAGACTGAGGATGAGGATGATTTTGACCTCTGCTGCAATTACAACCAAGGCATTATTAGAAATGTAGTAATGTGTTATAATTAACAAAATTGAAACATAAATTAATTTGTCACTGCTATAAAAATGGGGCAATGTTATCATCTCCATGTTCTTGTCAAAGTGGTATTTTAAAGATTTCTTTGAAACTAATTTCCTCTCTCCCATATATAATCTCTCATTCAACTTGCATCACTCATCTCTGACATTTTTTAAATTAAATGTTATTCCCTGGGAGCCGAACCCCTGTTTTTTCAGGGCACAGTTGGTGCAAATTAGTGCAGCTCAGGAATTGTAGCCAGTAAGTGGATTACACTCATCACTTGGACGAGTGAGTTAATTGTACGTTTAATAAGCCTCCACCATTGTATATGTTTTGAAAATGATCAAGGGAAAGTTTAAGTGAGTCTTTTTTCATTTTTTTCAGTCATCCCCTGATTCCTTGTTACTAGATAGTTGCAGGGTTGATCAACAACAGACAACCATTCACTCTCTCATTCATTCATTCTCACAAAGACTTAGTTGAACCATAATATTGCTGGCATAAAGGTAATAATAATAAATATACCAATAAAAATATTTGCAAATCTACTAGAATAAATATGAGAATAAATATACTGCTTACAAAAAACTCATGCACATTTGGCCACTCCTCCTGAAGATGTGTATTGTGACACAGAGCTTTCAGATGTATACTGTTCTTCACAAGTCATAGTCAGCTGCAACACGGAGGCAACCTCTTCTCAGTGGGAGGAGGGCTGATGCTGCCATTCATTTTCATTCGGCCATGATTAAATTCAAAGCACATTTACAAGAGAACTAGTGTGATCTGTGGGTGTGGGTTCATACTACCTGAACACAATTACTTGGTTAAAGTGATCAAATAAATCATAGTACAACAGGTACTATGATTTAGTTGATCATTTTACCTGAGGTAATCTTTCAAATGTTAGGGCATAATGAAGTTCAGGTGGTAAAACATAAGATGAAACTTGTACTTTCCACCCAACTAATCATGTACAACAGCACATACTGACAGAACATCAATCCTTCCTTCTCACATGTTCATAGTTTCAAAGTGATACAAATTGTGACTATTGCTTATTGTAAAATATTGTAAGATAAGCAATTAAAACCCAAAACAGTAAATTCACATCTATGAATGGCACACTTGTTTCATATCTATTCGTAACTACCATTTACATGAGTTTATAATGTAAAGCTTTTTAATTAAAACTAAACCTATCATGTGGGTTTTCTGACACCGTAGGAAACATTGTGGTTGTTTAATGTCATGTCAGTTTCTATAAATCATGTTTCCTGTGTGTGTCCAGCATAGTGACAAATTGGGAGGTCAACTCCATAGGACATCCTGCTGGTGCTACCAAAGAAGGTGTGTGAAGAGCTGCAGCGAGTGATGGATGAGAGCAACGCCACACTCCCCGCATCTTTGAGATGCATGCAGTCATATCAGGTGAAACTTCCATAGATACGGTAAAAGACGCAAGGATAAGAGTAAGATCTCAACTGAAAGTGGTATTTGAACAAGGAATAACAATATTTTAAGTAGTAAACATATATTTGCCTCTCCAAAGACTGTAGTGTTAATAAAAAGGGTTTGTGTCAGAAACTTGTCTCTGGATCAGATAAAAAAGTGGTGATCAGAGAGTGCCATCTGTATACATGCGTACGGTTGGAGAACTCCAGATGTGTTTATAGCATCTGGGAGATTTGAATCACAACAACTTCATCTGAAGTTCCGCTCTTTGAACAAGATCTTTAAAATGCTTTACATGAAAACAGTGTAGTAACAAAAAAGTAGAGTCTCTAAGATTATAAACTATGTCTAAATCAGGATCTAAACTAGTGATAAACCAGGGCTGAAACTAAGAACTGAACTGATACTAAGCAGTCCTACATCAAAACTGAAGGACCACCCACAGACTACACTAGAAGTACTCTACAAAGCAGTAGTCTAAATGTAAAAAGCCTATACCACAGCTAGACTGACACATGGTAGACTGGCCGATAAGTGATAATGAAGCAAAACCAGGAGAAAAACTACAAAGAGCTCAGAGTCCCACAGAAACCACAATTTAAGAAGCACCATTTTCCATCTACCTGTCTTGATCTTATGTAAAATTCCCCCATCAGCACCTCAGCGGGACTCCAGGCTGACACCAATCACTTATTTTGCTTAGTATTAACTTACAGTACCTTGTTTTTTTCTGGTACTCAGTCGTGCTTGGCAGTGTTTTCATCTTTCTTTAATTAATTTCATGTTTCAGAGCTTTCCGTTAACAGCTTTGCCTTCGGGATTATGTGGGTCAGATGAAAGGTTTTACTTCTGGCAGCTCCTTGCTTCTTCTCAATAAACCAGCTGCTATTGTGTAAAATGTATATTTAGCCTGACTTGCCAAGGAAGAAAGCTTTTGACTAGAAAATAAGAGGTGTTAAATTGGCTGACACTTATATTCCCGAAGCAGTTTTAAACGTACTGATGGGGTAATTAACACCATTGTTCTCTACTCGCTTAGCACAAAGTTGTAGAAGTCATTATAACTTAAAGAAAGAAAGGGCAGTTAAGGAAGGTTGACTTGATGAATCCGAAATGGAAGCACTGAAACATGATTAAAAACTGAAATAAACCAACTAGGCCTGTCATGATAATTACTTTATCGACTTAGCATTCAATATATGAATGCTGGAATAATATTTTTGAGGGCAGTATTTATCATGTGTACTTTTTTTTTTGCACTACTGGAAAAATTTTAGTTATTTTTTGCTTATAAGATTTGAGGCATAAAAGCTTGAATTAATAACTTCTATGACTCATTATAGATACAAACTAACTACTTAAGTGTTTCATTCTGCTATTTATTTATTGCAGTATTGTATATATTGGGTTATTGTCTCAATGGCATAGATTAGTTTAAATTTTATTGTTTATCGTCTATATTTACTTCAGCAATATATTGTACTTCAAAATTTGTTATTGTGACAATCCTAAATTGAACATGAAACAATACTTTATTCTGCATTCACATGTTTGGTACTCCCTATGATTGCCAGAGTATATAGTATAGTCATATAGTTATAAACAAAGAATTAATATGGATAGTGCAGGCAATATGACGATAATGATGCACCTGTGATGAGTGAAATACCTTGCAGTCCCATTTTGTATTACTAAAACAAAATACAACAAAATGCAATCTTTTCTATGACATTCAGGAAAACTAATTAAGTAATGCATCTAGCTCTTACACAAAGTAATGTTGTGTTGCCAGTAGAAAGAAAAGGAATTATCCAGCTGATCACAAGGTTAATTTACCTACTTTAATAAGACACTAATGAAGAAAGTCTATTTTGTTTTGTGACTATTTATCTACTTTTATTTATTTATTTTTGTCACAATCAGTCCCTGGTTAATAACTTTTTAATTGGCAAATCTCCAAACAAAGGATAGACTTCATATATGCTTTCTCGCATCTGCATTCGCTTATTAGACCCCCCACAGTGAGTTTGACACTTTCTGTTCTATGGACTGCTGATGTATTGCAACAGAGGCCTATCAAAACAAGCCTATTTTACATGTTAGCATGGCATAATTGGACTTGCCAGAATTAACAGGAAGTATCTTCTGATCCATGTTTCATACCATGGATTCAACTTTAAATTTTATCTGCTTGTCTTGCTTTTTAGTTTTGCAGTCAAGAGATAATTGGTGTAAGATCATAATCTTGAAAGCATCATGCCAACTTGTATAAACATGGGTAAAGGCAATTAAAATACTACTCCAGTATCAAGTAGAAAACTGTATTGAAAATGTTGGCTCTAACATTTGATCTGTTATGTGGACATTTTAATCAATGAAAATGCCATACTATAAAGCCATCATGTAAGAAACTGCAATTATGAAAAATGTGTAAATACAAGAAAACTATATTTTTTTTATGACCATATTCTAGTCAAAATAATTCATTTGTGCACTCTCATTTGTACAAGCATCCCCCAGCTATATGTTTTTGATTTATTTTAGTCCTTGTAGTGGATCAAAGCCTGAATCAGCTCTTGCCCTGTTATTGCATATGTATATATAATGTGTTCTTTTGTTGCACCCTGATACCAGTTAAATGGACTGTAACTATCTGTTGAGTTCCTCTTATAGGCTCATAAAGAGTCTCCTCCTGTCTCATTCGACTGGCTTATTAATCTCTCTACATGCTCACTTGGGCGCTGTATAGGTTAGACTCAAAATGATCCAATGTTTTGCACCAAAGAACCTATAGTTATCATGTTTCACCTTATTTTTTTGTAGAATTATGTGAAAAGTCATGGGTGGCCTTAAAAAAACTCGCATTTTACTTGTTTGTAACCAAAGCATTGATGGTAACAAACTAGTGCCATTTTGCTGGACTTGCATGAAGGACGATATGTTTTGGTCCGTAGGTTTGAGTGATCTGGCTCTCCACTCTTTACTAACCACATAAAGTGTGTTGAATGGCAGGTGAGAGAATGTCGGCCATTAATCATCTCTCCACTCAGCGGCCGTGCAACATCGCTAAAGCTAATAATAATGCCGATGACAGCTGTGCTTACAGACTGAGCTATTCCACTGGGATGACTGGGAGCCCTGGACATCTTCAGACAGGAAAAATCTGTGTCCAATTCAATTAGTTATTTTTTTTTCTTTTTTATTGTGATAAATATTACATGAGCTTCTTAGAGCAATCGGCAAAGCAGTGTGTTAGTGTTGTTTAGTCTCATCCTGAGCTGTTTGACACTGTTGTCTAGGTTTCTCATGTGTGAAAATATCCCTCCCAGCTGCGTGCCAACTATGAAGTGCTATGATAACACCAAGCACCAGACTATGTGTGCAGCTGTTATTGTTTCACTATGCCCTTTTAATAACACATTTCAACAAAGATGAGACCATGCAACCAGATCCTCAGCTTTGGTTTGAAGTTAAATACAGTGGTTGTCATGTTGTCCTGATTGGGGCTAGTCTCTTCTTGCCCTGGTTTATTCCAAGCTTAGTTGTGAGTTAGCCAGAAGTACTTTAGTAGTCCTTCTTTAGGTACCCTCTCTTTGAAAGCCCCATTGAGTACATTTGTAGCCAAAACAATAATAAAATAATACATTATTAACTTTTGATGATTTTATATATGAAAAGCATAGAAAAACATCCAGCCTTACTGTGAAGAGGTTTGCATCTCCACAAAACTGAGCCATAGTTGGTCTGGAATATAACCTCCTGTTTCTTGTCTCCATGGAAATATTGTTCCTTCAGTTAAAATACCTGACTATATGGCATAACGTATCCATCTCCATGGGGAATGGCCAAAGTATGGTTTTAACTTTCTGTTTCCACGGAATCACGCTGGCATCGCACCTCCTCCAGAAAGTTGAGTGCTGCTCATACTTAACATTACAGGAAATGGCTCTGAGTACATATCCACATCGAGTAGTAGTAGTCATCAAAGTAGTGTGAGAGTCTTAGAGGCCTGCTGTCAACATTGCTATTAAACTTTTGACAAGACTGGACTTGAGTGGCAATAGATAGACAATAGAATAGTTTGTTTTCCCAGTGTTTTTTTGTGTGTGTTGTGGAGAGAGGGGTTGTGTGGGTTCTGTTTAGTTTTTATTTTTTATTTTCTTTTAGTTTTTTTTTGTTATATAAAATTTCAAAATTGAAAAAAAAACAAACCCAAAAACAAAAGCATTGTACAAGCACTAAATCTCACCTATCAGCTGCATTCAAACACTTTGCACTTTGGAACCGAAAATATTGTTGTGGCGTTGGAGTCACCACAGGTCTAAAATAGGCGATGTTGGCATGTTAGCTGCACATTCGCACATAAGCAATTACGGAGAAAAGCCTGGGGATTTATTTCAACAGAACATGACAGATCTGCTGGACTTGCTACTTTTTCTTGGAATTGTACATCCAAAGAATGTCCAGCAGAGTTTTAATGATGTGCTGGAGGCTTCTCAAGGGGATAGCATTTGGTCTGTTTCCCCTCCCTCTCCCAACACTCTAATATGTATCGAAGTAACGTTGTCATTGTTTGGTTTGACACAACGCCCAATCTGTGTGTGCGGTGTCATAATAAAGTGTTTTTATGGTTCCAAGTTGATCCACGGCCCAGAGTAGGTGGTTTCAGTTGCATCATCCGTAGAAAACTATGTGTGCAATCTGTTTTTGAGTATCAACTGTCTGTTTGTTAAAGGGGGTTGCCTTGGAGAAAGCAAAAACTATAGATGTATCCAGTATGTTGCCTTAATATAAAATATATTATGCCTGATAATACCCAATAGTGTGGCGTTTTTGTTCAACAGTAACTTTATAGACCCCAGTACAAATTACTCAGTCAGCTTCAATAGAAAATCTGTGTCTGTGTTTAGTGTTTTGTGATTGAATTATGGTTTATTTAGTATCCATAATTAATTTAAAGTGTATTTTTGTTGCTTGATATATTAGTTCTTCATTTAAATGGGTTTGTTGTTCGTGTTGTAGTGTTGTTTGTGTGTTAACCACAGAATGCTGAATGGAATTGAATTGCCTAGTGTTTTTCACCCTTCACACTAGCCGTGCCACACTGATAAGTCTCTCCTACTTTCCCTTATCACATTTTGTCATCATCTTGTCATTGCGTTAGCAGCAGCTCACCTCCAGTACCTGCTGGTTGTGAATCATTTGTATGAATTACCATTGATGCGCAGGAGTGGGAGCAGACACTGGTGTAGGGGACAGAGAAGACCAGGCCTTGAGTGTCGCAAATGCCCTCATCCATCTTCCCAATATAGAGCCCTCAGTGGAGCGGGACGCTGTGTGCAGCAGGCCAACACCCAGCTCGAGCAGATGGAGAGAGAGGACAGAGCTCATTTGTTTTCTATTGCTGTTTATCTGAATGTGTGTTTTTGAAGTTGATTAAAATGTCTCCCACCTGTGGTTTTCACTTGTTTGAAGAATACAATTGCACATAATGTGTTACTTCATGAGTTCATTGTCAAGCCCACGGAGATATGCACTCCTGATCATTATTTTAACAAAGAAAAATTACACATTACAGGTGAATGTGAAATAGTAGATCAAGCCAGAGATTCCAAATGTAAATAGGATCAACTGACATTTTGTAGAGAGCTGTATTTTGAAATATGCAATGATGCATTGTTGGGTGAATGAAATCGATCTTCAATAATCTATTAAATTCAAACTTTGATTTAAACCTATTATGCAAATAAATACTGCTGTGTAATTCAGAAATGCATTTAAGGAAACTTGTGTTCACAACTGCCCTCTTGTTTCCTCTCTCATAGGTGGCCTATCTGAGACTGTGTGTTCCAAGCCCTCACTGTGAAGATGGACCAGCGTGTGGAAACGTGCCGTGCGGTTAAGGTGACAGAGACCTGACACTTCTGTTTTGTCAGACTGGAGAGGACAGTTTGGAACAAATGCTCTTAATTTTCTCTTTTGTATTTCAATCACATTTCAAAACTGCTAAGTGCTGTATTAACATCCAAACAGGTCTAAAGTTGAGGTACGATATTTTGAGACCGTGAAAGGAGTTGAGTATTTTTAACTGTTAACCTTGTTACTCAAACTTGATCCTTGGAGTTTATATGTATTCTTTTTTTATATCCCACACACATTAAACAGTGCTTTTCTGTCATAGTTTTTCTCTTTTGTCTGTTTTGTAGATGACTGGTGGGACATTGTTTCAGAGTTCAGTTCTAGTAAAAGCTTATTACAAAGACACTGGAGCCTGAGGGCACAGCAGTACGTAATTACAGCTCATGGAGTTAGGTGATGTTTGTCTCTTAATCTATTTTTTTGTTTGATATTGTTATATAACACAGAAGAAAACCCAAAACAAAACAAAAAAATTTTTCTTTTTATTAATCAAATGCACAGTTTTACAACTTATTTAATGGGCTAGGAGTTAACACTGCGGCTAACATTTCTTATCACTTTGTTTTGTACACCATCATTAAGCACTTAGATGAGTCAGTTTCATAATATAATACCGTATTTTTATTTAGATTTTTTGAAGTTGTCTGACCTAATTTGGAAGAATACACTGTCTGGTATACTCCTGCATTCATATGTAAACTGTAATTTAAATAGCGGTTGGTGGGAAAATGCTAATTGTCTGCCATAGTTTTTACACTAAACTCCTCCACATGCCCAAAGCACCTAGAATGACACAGCACAACCTCAGGGGGAGTTAATAGTCACAGGCTGTTTCTAAGTTGTAATTGGGTAGGTAATATTCAGTAATTGTAATTTTAATATTTATGCAATTTCAGAAAACTAATCAGCACCGGTCACATAATGAAACAATCATATGCTAAACCTTCACCATATATTTCTTTCTTATCAGTGCATGCATGCGTCTGTTAAATGCTGCTAGTGACTATTACTCCAAGAAAAAACAAAGGAGTATTGTGCTCATCGAGGCAGCAAAGCTGGGAGTGAATTGGCTAATTAAATACGTCCAACTCCAAAACCATCAAGGGCTCCTCGTTTCCTTTCTGCCCTTTCCAGGCAAGTGCAAATGAAGTAGGCTCTAAATAACCCATTTGTTTCAAGTCCGCTGAGCCTAAGGAGCCACTCCACATTATACTGGCTGCCACTGCTGCCGCTGTTTTGAAGTACACACCGACTGAACCGTTCGGCCCCAAGGAATTGTGGGAGCTCTTTGTCATTCTCTCCTTGATGATCGACAATGCAAGTGTCAAATTAAAGGTTTGGGGCCAGTGCAGTGTGGTCTGTTGACACTGTGCAGCTCATTAGCCCATTGAGACAGTCTGTGCATGAAAAATACCAGTACAAAGGTCTAGTCATACTAGTCTTACACTCAGGGATGATAATTACATGTTAGTTTAGAAGCTAGCCTTTATGCTTGTGTGGTGCACATACCAAGATGGGGATTTTTATTCAAAGATGAAATTGTTTTGTTTTTTTTCCTTTGAGGCTGCCACAGCAAATTATCTGCCTTCTACCTTTCAGTATTTTTTTTTTAAGCATTCAGTATTATGTTTTGTCTGGTGCCCCTAGCTTTGGGTTGTATTGTACCTGTATGTTAATCCATTGAGGAGTTGATTACATCTGTTTTACCTAATTTTCTGTTTTTGTTTTTAGCACTTATAAAACAATAAAATTACCTCCAGATCCAATAAGCTTTGTCAGACAAACTCTAGAAATAGGATGCCAATCAACACTGTTTCTTGGTGTGAAAGGTGTGCAGCTGGTTGTAAAGGGCAGTGCAGTTTTTTATACCATATCATCTTCTACTTCACAGAGAAAAAAAATTCCCTGCACCACATCGTGATAGCCCACATATGGAACGATCAAGTCTACCAGGATACATTTCAGATTGGATTTTACAGCTCTTTGCGTTTCCTAATGTCATTGATATTATTTCCGGATTAAGTGAAACAGTGATGTGTGAGATTACAACAAAGGCCGGCGCAGTTACAGAGGGTAGTTTGGAGAGGTCAAGCCTCTAAAGCTCGTCTCATCTATCAGAGGAAATGAGCCATTAGATTGAGTTCCCATTTTAGTCACCCAGTCTTAATGGGTCATCTATATTCACCATCTACAAACTTGGGAAAGAAGAGGAATCACATAGTTTGTTATAGTTTACTATATCCACTGTGTATATCAAAATAAAGCTATAGAGGATGCGCCTGGAATTATTTTAGTCATTCATCATACTTGCTTGTTTGTTGTTATCTGAAGCCTAGAAACTGTAATGCAGGGCTGAGGTATCTCAAAAGTATTCAGTCTTTTTATTCCTCATCTCAATTCATGAAACATTAAAGTATCTGCTCCAAATAGTCCCTAATAAATAAATATTATGGTAATGAATATCAAACCAAAGACATTAGATAAAAGTTATGCTTGTTTAAGAATTTCTAGGTTAATGTGTTTTATACATCTTGCACTCAATAAACTGGTTGCTGTTGTTATGGTCATCTCATTACCCTGACCTTAGCCTTTAGCCTGAAGCTCCTCTTTGTACTTTGTGTACAATGTCTTACTACAGCAGTTAGCATATATGGTTGTATAATATTCTTTCTTCTGGCAAGGATATTATGTTATTGTCACCATTGTCTTTCAGTGAAAGCATGCCATATCAGTCTTTGTACATTTTTATTTGTTTGCGTAAACAACCTCATAGCATAATCTGTAGCTTTTATCAGCTTCTTTTTTATCATTAAGGTGAAATTGCGCTTCTGCTGAATGATGCAACGTAAGTAGCTTACAAAATACATTTAGATTGCATTTAAGAACGTGTGCATTTTTGAAGAAAAGTTGATCATTTGTGTTCAAATATTGGATTTGAAGAAATCGTATATTATCTGTATCTGAAGTGTTACAAATGCTTTTCATTCAACAAATCATTCTACACATATCTTTCTAATAACTTCTAGGGCGATAGTTTGTCTTATGGTATTCAGAGGGCTATCTTCAAGTTCAGAGTCAGTGATGAGCTTGGAGCAAATATGATCAAACCTACATGATGACAAGGGCCACAGTCACGTGCACTGACAATTACAGCATAAGGCAGACTATGATGTCTGCACTGTGCCTATAATGCGTATGACATGCAGCCAGGGAAAAGTGCTTACAGTCATTAGAAGCTACAGTCCAACATGAAAACATAAAGCTGTCAGCAGCTCCACATTTGTCAAACTTGCAGAATTATGTTTTTGATTTTGAACTTGGGCAAAAGAAAATAGTTGCTGTGCAGAAAGAGAGGGTAAATCCTTATTGTGACAAGCAGGAGACATGTTGAGCTGACAGATGACAGGGGAGAGGCCTTTTGGAGACTGTTGGGGGCTGTCCCAGTGCTGCTGATGTTCCTGCAGCCTGAAGGTGTATGAATCAGAGGCAGGAGATAGACTCGCATCTTCCAGTGTTTGAGGGAGGCCAGTGCATCAGCTTTAATCTGCTGTGTGTATCCAATAGAATAGTAATAGTAAAAGTACAATAGACCTTTGTGCATTCATTATTTGGCTTAGAATAGAAAAACATGTTTTGTATTCATCATAAGAACTTGAATCATAATTTAACAAAATAGATTTGTTATTTCTTATTCTTGCAGAGTCATCTTAGCACGAACCAAAAAAAAAAAAAAAAATCTCTCATTTCAATTATATTTTGCTGTTAGTTGCAACAGGAACAACATCCATCATGAGCTCTTCAAATCACAGTGGAATGTACAATCAATAAATTCACTTTAAAATAAATTTCCAAATGAGCTGGATTTGAAAAACAAAGGCTATATCTGGCTTTCTCCATGACTTTGACATTCGGCCAATGTTAATTCTTTGCTTTCAGTATAATTCAAAGAAGATTACTGAATTATTGAAAAGAATAGGTAATTTATCTAAGTCTTTTCAAAGAGCTGACAGATATGTACTGCATATAGACTGTGTTAGGGCTCCTACAGGAAGGAAGGGAAGGGAGGATT